TGCGGGGCTGGAGGAGGCGGGTGCCCGCCCGCGCCGGGCCCCCGCTGCCGCGGGAGATCGCGGCGCCGATCGCGGCGAGGCTGATCGCGGCGAGGCTGCGGGCGGCGATCTACGTGCTGGTGACCTTCGCGGGCTACCTGCGGCCGTCGGGGGCCCCCGGGGCGACGGGGTCTCATCTGATCCTTCCGACGCCTGGCGGGGCGTGCGACGGGTGGTCGCTGGCTTTCCATCCTCGCGAGCTGGCGGTGCCGAGCGAGACGCAGGTTTACGACGAGGCGATGCCCTTCGACGCGCCGTTCTACGGTTTCCTGCCAGCAGCCCTTCGCTGGCTCAAGGCGTCGACCCATCCGAGCGCACTGCCGTTCTTGATCGCCCTCGTGCAGGCCCTCTTCAAGCGGGCGGCGGCCAATGTCGGCGTTGCGACGCTGGCGCCGCAGCTGTGCCAGCTCAGACGCTCGGGGCCGTCGGTTGAGCAGGCCATTGAGCTGCGGGCCCTGGCCAGCGTCAAGGTGCGCGGCCGCTAGAGGACTGACGCCTCGGTCGCCCGGTGCCAGAAGCCCGGGCGCGTGAACGAGCAGTTGCAGAGGCTGGGCCCCGCGGTGCAGCGCGCGGCCCAGCTGGCCCCCGCTCGGCTGGCCTCGCTCCTCAGCTGGCGCTGGGGGGGCTGCTGGGGCCGCGGCGCAGACGCCCTCTGGCGCCGCCAATCTTCGCGGAGGTGTTCTCGGGCGAGGGCGTTCTCGCAGCTGCCCTGCGCCGAGAGGGCTCCCTGGCCATCGAGTCGGACATCGCCTGGGGGCCCGACTGGGATCTGACGGTCCCGAAGGTGGTGCGGCTGCTGCGAAGTCGTTTGGGCGCGGGGCTCATCTGGGGCGTGCGCCTCGGGGTGCCCTGCCAGACGTGGACCAGGATCAGGAACGCTGGGCCTCTTCGTGCACCAGGTGAGCGCGGCTCCTGGCCCACTCGCTTGAGATCAGACGACGAGGTCTGGGGCCTGGCCGCCGTGGCGGACCCGTCCGACCGCGCTCAGATAGTGCTGGCGAACAGGCTCGTGAGGTTGCGTGAAAGCCTCTGGTCTGGTTCTCCGCGCATGCATTCCTTTCGCGATCGAGAACCCTGCCATTCTAGGCCCTAGACTCTGGCTCATTCCGTCACTTCAGCGGCTTCGGAAGCAAGCGCGTGTCTCTTGGGTTGTCACTCGCTGCTGTCAGGACGGGACCCCTTGGAAGAAACCCACGGGTCTCTTGGGGTTCCGCGTAGATGTTGAAGCGTTTGCTCGTCTTTGTAAAAGAATGGTACGCCCCATCATATTCTGAATGGTCGAGCTCCGGGAGGCCCTCCGCGGACTCTTGCGGCGCTGCCTTGCCCGAAATCGCTCGCCGCCAGGTGGGCGAGAGTTTGTTTGTTTTCGACGCTCGTTTGCAGTCTGAAGGTTTATCTTTCGCGCCGTTGTGGATCGGCTGTTGACTAGAGAGGAGGGGCCCTCGGGAATGTTCGGAGAGGGTTTGGCCGTGGGGCCGCGCGTCAGAGTTGATTCGGTTATTGAATGTTCTTTGCCCGGGCCCAGTGTGCACGCGGTGCTGCCCTTCGCTCTCGAATGCAATCCTCGCTGGCCTCGGATAAACCATCGTTCGGGCGTGATTGTGATGCTTTTGCTGATGATGCTGCTGATCATGATGATGAGGATGATGATGATGATGATGCTGACGATGATGATTTTGACGATGGTGATGAGGATGGTGATGATGCCGACGGTGTTTATGATGATGCTGATGATGCTGATGCTGACGACGATGGTGATGTTGATGGTGATGGTGATGAAGATGGCGATGACGATGGCAATGCTGATGATGTTGATGACGGTGGTGATGCTGATGATGCTGGTGATGATGATTCTGATGATGACGATGATTATGATGATACTGGCGATGACGATGCCGATGATGGTGATGCTGATCATGATGATGATTATATTGCTGATACTAGTATCTCTGATGATGCCGCTGATGATGGTGATGCTGGTGCTGCTGGTGATGGTGATGACGCTTTTGATGCTGATTTTGCTGGTGATTATCATGCTTTTCATGATTCTGCTGATGATGATGGTGATGCTCATGATAATGATGATGATGATGATGATGATGATGATGATGATGATGATGATGATGATGATGATGATGTCGATGATGATTATGATGCTGATGAGGGTCATGCTGATGCTGCTGATGATGGTGGTGATGATCCCGGCGATGATGATGATGTGGATGATGCTGATGATGATGATGGCGAGGAGGAATAATAGTATGAACAACGCAGGATGAAGATGAGAATGATGATGCTGCTGACGATGATGGTGTTGATTATGATGATTCGGATGATGATGACCATGCTGATGAGGTTTCGTGATGATGCTGGTGGTGGTGATCATGGTTCCGATGATGCTGCTGATTATGCTGATGATGCTGAGATGGATGGAGGAGGAGGCGGGGGAGGAGAACGACGG